TAAAACTGCTAAATGCAATGGCGTATCACCTATATTGTTTTGTATATTGTTACCACAGTCCGCCCCACGAACTAAACACTTTACAATTTCTATATTATTATTTAAAACTGCTAAATGCAATTGCGTATCACCTATATTGTTTTGTATATTGTTACAACAGTCCGCCCCACGAACTAAACACTTTACAATTTCTATATTATTATTTAAAACTGCTAAATGCAATGGCGTATCACCTATATTGTTTTGTATATTGTTACCACAGTCCGCCCCACGAACTAAACACTTTACAATTTCTATATTATTATTTAAAACTGCAAAATGTAAGGGTATATAACCGCTTCTGTTCTTTATATTATCACCACAGTCCTTCTGGCTGATTAAACACTTTACAATTTCAACATTGTTATTATCTAAAACTGCTAAATGCAATGGCGTATCACCTATTGTTTTGTATATTGTTACAACAGTCCGCCCCACGAACAAAACACTTTACAATATTTATATCATTATGTAATACCGCAATATGTAATGGCGTATGACCTAGACTGTTGTGTATTTTATCACATTGATCAGACCAGTTCATATACATATATATATACCTTACAATGTCTTTGTCATTATGCAATAATGCAACATCTAATGGCGTATCACCTATACTGTTTTTTATATTCACACCACAATCATTATGGTTCAATATACACCTTACAATTTCTATGTTATTATTCAGCACAGCTAAATGTAAGGGCGTATAACCCAACCTGTTTTGTAAATTCACACCACAATCATTGTGGTTCAATATACACCTTACAATTTCAGTATTATTGTACAATACAGCTATATGTAAGGGTATATAACCCAACTTGTTTTGTATTTTTACATCAAAATCATTATGGTTTAATATACACCTTACTATTTCTAAATAACATTGTTCTACAGCTTTATGTAAGGGTCTAAAACCGCCACTGTCCTGTAAATTGAAATCACAGGTGCCACTCTGTACCAAATTATTCACAGTCAATAGATTATTGTTCTTTACGGCATCAAATAAAGATGTTCTGCTTGACATTTTCAAATCAGTCTGTAATAAAGAAAAAAAGAAACTTCACAGCACTGATACAGGGCGTGTTAAGACAAAAGGTGTATACGAAGGTAGACAGATTAAGGTCGCACATGCGCACTACACACTAATAAAATATCTACAAGTCTAAAGAAATTTGGATAAGAAATAAGTAAGTTGGTGATGCGCATGCGCAAAACACGAATTTAATATTTTCATCGAATTTAGAATTTGAATACACATACATACCAGGTTTGATGAAATTTTGACACGAAATAAGAAAGTTTCATTATTTTCGTTAAAATAAGAATTTGATTATAAACATACTTCGGTCAAATTTGGACAAGAAATAAGAAAGTTGGTAATGCTCATGCGGGCTACAAAATCTCATTATTTTTGTTAAGAATAAGAATTTGATTATACACATACTTTGGTCAAATTTGGACAAGAAATAAGAAAGTTGGTAATGCGCATGCGCACTACGAAAATTCAATATTTCCATCAAGTTGTCCGACTGAAGGTTGTAAGTTGCTATTTCAGTTAGGGTCAAGGTCACTGATTTTCATCATGGTAAATATGAAGGTCATGCGATATACTTCTTCAAACTTTGAAAAAAAACACCCGATCATGCAAAAAAGGCAAAATCAAAAATCGAAATTCGGCTCTCTACAAGTTTTAGATAAACGTTTACTTTATCCTTTGACACCAAAATCGTGCAGATGTGTAAAAAGCTTCAAAATAGCAAGTTTTGCATAATGAGGCAAAACAAGATATATATATATATATATATATAACCTATATGTTACTTCCGGTACAATTTTTTTGAGTTGTAACACGTTGTGTTAGTGTCGCTAAACTTATGTATACGCCAATTTCAAATCGATCCGTCAAATAGCAACCGAAATAGCATTTTTCGATTACATTCGACAAAAAATAATATCGAACGAATTTCAAAATTTCAAGCTCATAAAGCACTATTCTTGTCGGATTTTGACAAAACTTGATAATATTGGTAATATTGTTCAGTATCATCCTAAAGAGTTCAAAAGAAGTGTATGACTAAAGGTTGAATATTTCATACTGGTGATTGTTACTGTACTGCCATATATACTTTTATTCAAAATCAAAGCTGCCAGTGGGCGTATATTACCTTGCCTGACAATCTATCTTCTTAACATGCTTTAATTCACGTCTTCTTCACGATTCATTGATTTTATGATTCATTCCATTTCCTTTCATGATGAAATATTTCCCTTCCTTATCTTTAAATGCAATTTAACCACGAATAACCCATAATGTTTAATTGTTTTGTGTAAAGAGGCTTTCTAAACTTTTTATCTGTATCAGGTACACTGATAACGTCCATTTGCAGCATTCCAAGCTTCAATCTGACTTCTGTTAGCGTAGCAATTCTTCTAAAACTATGTGTTTAATAATGCCACTATCGCCAATACTGCTAATATAAAATACAAATACATATTTGGTGTTTCACAGTTATCTGACCTTGAATATTAAAGATTATTGTGATGAAGTAGGGTATTTGTTGATATTGAATAAAAAAGGATAGGGCGAGTTTGATTGTAGTAATAATGCATGGAATATAAATCTGAATCAATTGAGAAAATAAGAGTATATATATCGTGAATCGTATCTATATCATACTTTAGAAGATTATGGCTGATTCCATATCAACACTTGACAGTCAAATGAGATGCGGTTTTACGTACTCTTTAACAACTGATTGTGTTAATTGATATGGGAAACGTCAGGCAGTGTTCAATATCTTTAATATGCACAGCCTTCACGTGACCTTGTTTATTTAACTGTCAAGTGTTATATGTTGTGTTAAAGGAGTTGTAAAATGGTTTTTCTTTTTATGTGTATCGGGGGCACTGAGAGTATCAATTTGCACCATTCCAATTTTCAATCAGACGTCTGTGCTTCCTGCAATTCCACTAAAACTAAGTGTTTGATGACGTCACTAATCTCAAAATAAGGCCCTTCACGATTAATGACGTTCGGTTTGCTTTCGCACTGCAATCCTATCTAGATAGCTGCTTTCGCACTGCGGAGACAAGTTATCTCAATAACTTTTTATTTTTAGTAACGTGTCATGTCGAAGTTGACGAAAATTGAACTGCAATGTTCATTATAAATCATTACAAAATATGAACATAATAACAATATAATTTTCTGTTTCTTTCTTCCGGTGAATATGCGTGTACTTTATTAACCCTTTTCTTGTGATTTTCAAGTACATGTATTTCAACGACCCAGTCAAAACGCCATTTTGAAGTGATATTCCACGTGATGTTCTTATCCGGATAACTTTTGGTTTGGTTTCGCACTACCAAATATCTTAACCGTATCCAGACGAAATACTCCTTTGGAGGTAGATTTTTCTATTTGGATAACTGTAAAAGCAACTGGAAGTTATTCGGATAGAACTGAATAAAACCGAATTATTTTTGCAGTGCGAAAGGTGTACGCACGATCCAGCCTCATTCCTTACATGCCACTCCTCCTACCCCAATGATAATCAGCTCTATGTAAACAGTCTAGTAGATTCCTGACAATTTTTGAGTAAAATATCAGGGCTAAAATAATAAAATGACAGTACCTGATGAAAATTGTTCAATGCCTTCTATCCCTTTGCTCTGTTCAAAATGGCGACTGTATAAGGAAATTATTTTTTTTCATTGTACGACAAGAGGTGATCACGTGACTAGAGGGTGTGGGTGTAGGGTATTCATACATTGCAAAAAATTGCAAATACATTTTGTATCAACAATATATCTATCTGAGATAACATAAGGTTGATTACACAGGTCCCGTCACATCGGACTGCGATCTGACGTCGAATGAAAAATTTAATAGATCACCGACAATCACAGAAAAAACGCGAGAAAATGTCCTTGAAAAATTAAACTCTTTAACAGACGCCCTCATACCGTGACCAATGTTATGTTTCCACTGCGCACGCACATGACTTTAAAGCATTAAGGGCACCTCCGTTGACATGTGGGTTCAGTAAGACCGTCCAATGGAGTTCTCGTGGTGTTTCCACCACGCTTAGTAGTGTGTTCTTACTACGGAGCAACTATTTGTCGCATCGTGCTTTTAAGTACGGGAAATGTTATAATTTAGGGGCCAAAATGGAAGGAGCGATTTGGGAAGACACCATTTTAACCAGAGTTAAAGGAATACCCCCTCTTAGATTGGACATACAATTTAAAGTCTCAAACTTAATCAACAATTGTACACATTCATCAGATGGACCAGTTGCCATGACTAAAGAATAGAATTTCTATATAAGACAATATATCCATTAAACTAAATAATTATGCATGTTCCAAAATTATTTAGGCTAATGATTTATTGCTTAGTTTTATAGATTGATTGGATTATAAAGGGATTCTGTTTCACAGTTATGACAACAGGTAAGTCCACTATAGCGGCTATAGCATGTAATTGCTTCGCTTTAATAAAAAACTATAAACTGATGAACAATGACTCAGTTTGGCCAAGTATACCTTTAAACTAATTATTAATCAACAGCGGAATTTTATTCATTGAGCATTGAAATATTTCCTGATGAATATATTTACATATATTTTTAAAAATCTCATGTTTAGAATTCAGTTTTTATAATACTGTATATGGTGGAAAGTGGAAATCCTGAATGAGAAAAACATCTCCGACATCTTCACAACTCTAGCAACAGTTCCGAGGATTTGTGTAAAGGTGCAAATAGTCGAGGTACGGTGTCTGGTGCGGTGTACGGTGCTGGATTATCAATACAGTAGAAAATAGAAGAAACGAATCGTGCCCGCACCATGTCCGGACCCGTACCTCGTTTGTTCACTACTTCTATTTTCGTTTATATCGATTATTCCGCACCGGACACCGTGCCTCATCTATACGCGGCTTAAATCGGTTTCGCTCATGCCACACTTTGACCAGCCGCCTGATCAAAGGAGTTTCTAATAGTTCTCAGGGTCACTGGATTCGACACGGTGGATAATCTCAACAGTAAGGCAGCATTTTCCAGTCGCGATCGTCTCTCGCTTATATGCTTGATTAACATCCGATCACCCTTTTGTGGGAGAAACCCGGCCACCATTGTAGCTTCTATTGCACTATGAAGCCCGGTCGAAACGTTAAAGGCATCACTATCATTATGTAATCTATTTTTACGGCACATGACGACCTGTTTACACCGAGTCTTAAATCGTTTATTGGACAGAGCAATAAATATTGGATTTAGCAGACAACTGAAAAATGATAACCATAACGTTAATTTCAGAACTATGATAGGGATCTTGGTGGAATCGACACCGTTCACTAACCGACATATGTGATAAGGGAAGCACAACACTGAATATCCTATTAAGATTAAAAAGAATCCTTTCATCGATCGAAAGTTGCCCCATCGCCTGTGGATATTCGGTTGAGGTAAAATTGTCACGGCTAGGGTTGGAATGGGGACGATAGCGAACACTCGTCCATGACACGTTGCTTCTTTCACAATCACAAACACGCTGATAATAATGATAAACGTTGGTAGAATAAAAACAAAACATTCTTTAACAATATGGCCGCTAGTCCGAGGTGATACGTACAAACACCCTTTCAGTTGTGGATTGAACACATACCTGGCGAATCCAAAACAGGGAAAGAGAGCCAAGATTAGTCCATGGATCCATGCATATACAATTAACACTGTTGTTGATCGTGGAGACATTAGATACATGTAACGCAGTGGCTTCTTTACGGCTACGACTCTGTCAATACATACTAGCATCAAGCTAAACGTAGACGCAGAACGTCCTAAGGTCTGGAAAAAGCCGATGGCTTCACATGTGATGATATCCTTCCCTAGTTCTTGATGGAGTCTAAACAGACCTGCAACAAATGTCCCGATGCCTCCAACCAACAATTCAGAAACTAGCAAGGAGAGAATAAACATATTTGTACAGGTCTGGAGTAATTTGGATTTCCATATCACTAGTATAAGACATCCGTTAATAAAGATCGCCAGTATGGCCAAAATTATGGAAATGATGACTAGGAAAGTGGTCTCTGACTCGACTTGTGATGTCCCTTTGTATGAAGAGTTCCAGAACCCAAAGTCTGCCATCTGGTCATGTACCACTAGATGGCGCAACGGAACGTCCAGACATTCATATATGAAATCTTCATGATATATTAGTGACACTTTACGCTTTCCACATACAAAATCATTTGCATCAGTAAAATAGTCAGAAGGCAGTATACATTGAAATACTCAAGCGCATGATGCTATTTTTTTATTTATAAATTGCAGTACGAATGAAATAGATACACCTTTACACTGTATCATGTACGCTACTTAGTTTTGATAACATGTTTTTAATATGTACAAGTAATACTGTATCTGAAATAGAAAAAAAACAACACAAAGTAAAACAATTGATAACACTTAGAAAATCAAATATAAATAATACGTAATGTAAAATAATTGCAAATCAATTTCAATTCACATTCAGGAATCTTATTCAAGCACAAAATAATGGTAAGATTCATAAAATTGATGTATTGAGTACCATTTTAACAGTTATATTTCTATATCACTCTACAATTGATGTATTGATTACTATTTTAACATTGGTATTTCTATATCGCTCTACAATTGCTGTATTGAGCCCTATTTTAACCTTGGTATTTCTATATCGCTCTACAATTGATATATTGAGTGCTATTTTAACAGTAATATTTCTATATCGCTCTGCAATTAATGCATTTTGCCCTGTTTTAACAGTGATATTTCTATATTGCTCTACAATTGATGTATTGAGCCCTGTTTTAACAGTGGCATTTTTATATCGCTCTACAATTGATGTATTGAGCCCTATTTTAACAGTGATATTTCTATATTGCTCTACAATTGATGTATTGAGTACTATTTAAACAGTGGCATTTCTATATCACTCTACAATTGATGTATTGAGCACTATTTTAACAGTGGTATTTCTATATCACTCTACAACTGATGTATTGAGCACTATTTAACAGTGGTATTTCTATATCACTCTACAATTGATGTATTGAGCAATATCGTAACAGTGGTATTTCTATATCGCTCTACAACTAATGTATTGAGTACTATGTTAACAGTGGTATTTCTATATCACTCTACAATTGATGTATTGAGTACTATTTTAACAGTGGTATTTCTATATCGCTCTACAATTGATGTGGTAAGCTCTATTTTAACAGTGGTATTTCTATATCACTCTACAATTGATGTATTGAGTACTATTTTAATAGTGGTATTTCTATATAGCTCTACAATTGATATATTGAGTGCTATTTTAACAGTGGTATTTCTATATCGCTCTACAGTTGATGTATTGAGTACTATTTTAACAGTGGTATTTCTATATCGCTCTACAATTGATGTATTGAACACTATTTTAACAGTGATATTTCTATATCGCTCTACAATTGATATATTGAGTGCTATTTTAACAGTGGTATTTCTATATCGCTCTACAGTTGATGTATTGAGTACTATTTAAACAGTGGCATTTCTATATCGTTCTACAATTGATGTATTGAGCACTATTTTAACAGTGGTATTTCTATATTGCTCTACTGTTGATGTATTGAGCAGCATTTTAACAGTGATATTTCTATATCACTCTACAATTGATGTATTGACCACTATTTTAACAGTGATATTTCTATATCGGTCTACAATTGATGTATTGACCACTATTTTAACATTGATATTTCTATATCCCGCTTCAATATTTTAACAGTGATATTTCTATATCGGTCTACAATTGATGTATTGACCACTATTTTAACGGTGATATTTCTATATCACTCTACAATTGATGTATTGACCACGATTTTAACAGTGATATTTCTCTATCGGTCTACAATTGATGTATTGACCACTGTTTTAACGGTGATATTTCTATATAGCTCTACAATTGATGTATTGAGCACTATTTTAACAGAAGGTAATTTCTATATTACTCTACAATTGATGTGGTAAGCTCTATCTTAATATTTTACTCTCCAAATACGTAATATAAGATAATCACATTGAAGAAAATAATGAGCACATAAACATAATTCTATGATGTGGGATTTATGTCACCGGAGATGAAGTAAAAATCGTTTCACATTATACTCACCTTAAAGACAATTAAGCTTTTCACATAGCACAGATTTGACATCCTACTGTCGTGTCACTTCAAAATGTCCATTCAAATAAACCACATAACTGCGCTAAGGTTTTATTCACTGTATTATCTCGATAAACCCAGACGTACTCGATCTGAAAATGAAAAAAGAGTATTACGACTGGAAGCAAATAACGGTAGTCGCAGACTAACAGAAATCGTGAATAAATGATGAGAATTGTAATTCACCATGACATCTATTATCGATATCAATCCATTAATGCGCGCATGTTGCAAATATGTGGAATTTCCTTCACAGTTTTTCTTGCACAGTTGATAATGGCGTTCACATTTATTAAATTTGTTCACATTCTTACAATGCGAATACTCGAAACAAATTTTCGAGTTGACTTTAAAATGCAAAATACTTTATATAAGGTATATATATATATATATACTGATATAAAGCGAAAATAGATTTTGTTTTCAAAGATATTTCACATGGACGTAATTACACTGAAAATAGATACTAGCAAACCAAATTGACTTTTTTTCTAACAGCTTGCCAGGTTTGGTAACATTTCTTTGCGAATGGCTCATTATCGGTCACAATTATTCTATTATTTCATTAGCACTACAATGTATCATTGTATGATATGTCGAAGGTTATCCAACTGATGTCAGACCAGGTTACCCAGTGGACAGACAAGTTATTCCAAATAATTAGATGCATTTATAAAATATTCTTTAGCATATTATGTGCCAATGGACAAGGGGTATCTTAACTACATGGAATGTGATTATGCCTTTTCCAAGAAATACTTTTACTATCTTTTGATTTCCTTGGCACTTATACCTGATCACACGCAGAACAACCGGCCATTACTGCAACTAAACATCATACATCATCGGACCTCCGGATAACATACTTGCTCCTCTAAAAAATCAAGTCTGGCTACGGGCCTGATCACACGTGCCGACCCAGTGGACGAACGGTATTTTAGGTCCACGAAAATGGACTCCAGCTGACAACTGCTTTCTAAAAATCACATCTGTTAACCCTGTTTCCTTGGGAATGAATCGGAATAAAAATTTCTAATCAAATCAACTATTAACATTGATTCTGTTTCATGACCAGAGACGATAAAATGTTTATCATTTGCCTCATTACGTATCCAATTTCAGGTTTCATTTGGATTACTAACCCAATTTTGTATCCCATTTCATCCAGTAGGTTCGATTACTAACCTAATTCTGTATCCCATTTCACCCAGTAGGTTTGATTACTAACCTAATTCTGTATTCCATTTCATCCAGTAGGTTCGATTACTAACCTAATTCTGTATCCCATTTCACCCAGTAGGTTTGATTACTAACCTTATTCTGTATCCCATTTCACCCAGTAGGTTTGATTACTAACCTAATTCTGTATCCAATTTCATCCAGTAGGTTCGATTACTAACCTTATTCTGTATCCCATTTCACCCAGTAGGTTTGATTACTAACCTAATTCTGTATCCCATTTCACCCAGTAGGTTTGATTACTAACCTAATTCTGTATCCCATTTCACCCAGTAGGTTTGATTACTAACCTTATTCTGTATCCCATTTCATCCAGTAGGTTTGATTACTAACCTAATTCTGTATCCCATTTCACCCAGTAGGTTTGATTACTAACCTAATTCTGTATCCCATTTCAGCCAGTAGGTTCGATTACTAACCTAATTCTGTATCCCATTTCACCCAGTAGGTTTGATTACTAACCTTATTATGTATCCCATTTCACCCAGTAGGTTTGATTACTAACCTAATTCTGTATCCCATTTCATCCAGTAGGTTCGATTACTAACCTAATTCTGTATCCCATTTCATCCAGTAGGTTTGATTACAAACCTTATTCGGTATCCCATTTCACCCAGTAGGTTTGATTACTAACCTTATTCTGTATCCCATTTTGTCCCGTTAGTTCGATTATTAACTTATTCTGTATCCCAGTTCGTCTAGTAGGTTTGATTACCAACCTAATTATGTATCCCATTTAACCCAATAGGTTGGATTACCAACCTAATTCGGTATCCCATTTCACCCAGTAGGTTTGATTACTAACCTAATTCTGTATCCCATTTCACCCAGTAGGTTTGATTTCTAACCTTATTCTGTATCCCATTGTGTCCCGTTAGTTCGATTACTAACTTATTCTGTATCCCATTTCGTCCAGTAGATTCTATGACTAACCTTATTCTGTATCCTTTTTCATTTCGTAGGTTTTCACCATTGTATCCTTATTTTGCAACGGATCTTGTTTGACTTCTATCATGGTTCTAAGCTTCGCGATATCCCAGGGCTATAGACTGTATATAACATCCATATATGACATTGGTTCCATTAGTTTAATTGAAACTAAACAAATGAATGGGAGCGTCGAAAGCAGATCTATAGAAGAGGGGAGGGGGGGGGGGGGGTGTCTGACAATCGGTGTTCTCTGGTGTTACATTGTGTGAAGATACTCATGTTGAACTCATTTCATGTTCAGTGACATTTTATACGGGGTAGGGAATTTCACATTTTCTATCATTTAACATTGTTTCCTAGATACGCCACTATTCACCGTTTCCTGATTGAGACTTTGATCATTTCTCCCGAGTTTTAAATTTATTACATTGAATTAGACTGAATTTTCCTGGTCAACGTTATCCATAGCAAATGATTCCGAGGTCTCGTTTAAGACATACTTCACTTTGATTGAATTATGATTTAAATTTGCTTTTTCTTCACTGAGTTACCATTTATCTTTACCGAAACATCATTTTAGTTTTCAGAATAATTAAGTCTTCTGAATTATCATTTTGTTTTTGAATCAGCGGTTAAAGTTTACGTATCTTCTTATTTTATTTTTTATTTAATATATTCTATTTTCTTTTTTTCGTTTTTTCCTCACAGAAAAATTATTTATGTTTTGAAGAAT